TTATCTGATCAAATCTCTAAGAATGTCTAAGCTTACCAGCCTGGATTTTTCAATCACAGACCTCCATAAATAATCTGGTTTACAGAGTACATGGACCTTGTGGTGCCTACCAGGTAACAGAAGAATATAGATTGCATTTTCAAATACAAAAGCTAAATTTACATTCTAGTTTTTTTTTCCACCATAAGGTTTTTTATGCCTTTGTCAAATTTTAACATAAAATCAACTAAAATAAGGAGACTATGTTGAAGCTCTTTGGGTATTTGGGGTCATAATGATGTCTGATATTTATCTCTCTTTCAGCATAATAATTAACTGTCATCCATGAAAGCTGAAAACTTCTTTATCTTACTTTGATTTAGTTTTGTGGTTTCTTCCTTTGCCTGTAAACTCCCAGAACTTTCCTTCTCCCTTTCCTGGTATCATCACTATTGATTCAGGACAAGCCTAAAAGAACACACTATTTCTATTATTTTATGCTTTTGGATCACCTGTTACTTTATCCTTCCCATAAATATCAAAAATAATTAAGAATTGCATGCATGGCTCATAGGTCAACACATGTCTAGTCTTTGATCACTACCTGGCCCCACCATTCTTAATAGAGAAGCTTTTGGAAAAGTTACACTTTGTTGACGGATCCCTCTTCCTAAGCTGTCATTGACTTATCAGTCTATAACAGATTGTCTTCTTCTCCCTACACTTTTCCAAAAAAACTTTTACCAAGACTTCCCTGATCTTTCATTTAATGGTATGACTCTTTTTTCAGGTCTTGTTTTACTTAACCTCTGTGATGAACTTGATCTTGTTCACCTCTTTTCTGGAAGACACTTCTCCCCTTGTCTTTGTTACTCTGTTTTTCCTGTTATTTTTCCTACCTCTGGTCACTCCTTGACATCCTTTAGGTCCTTGTGTTCTCTATTTAATTTACTCATTATATTTTGCTATTTCCTAGAGTTATTTTGTGGCTCCCTTTTCTTCTTGCTCCACAGCCCTCCCTGGGCATCATTTGCCAGTTTCCATACCTCTTTCAGGCCACATCTCTCTCTAAGCCTCAGACACACATTAACAACTTCTTCCTGAATGTCCTCACTGTATGTTAGCCACTCAATCCCAGCATGATCAAAACTGATCTCCTCACTTTGTATCTTCCAGCCTCAAAAGTACTCCTCCTGGTTTTGCTTTCTTTACAATTTTCCCTGCAGGTTACCCTGAAATTTAAAAGCCATTCTTAAATCGTTTTTCTTAATCTTATCCCTTTCAGCCAATTGACAACCTCATTTTACACTGTCCTACCTTCTTAATATTCTTCTCTTGGGTCTTCTCATTTACATCACCACTGGCAGGCTTTCTCCAGGTTTACTTAATGGTACCATCATCCGCTTCCTGTTCATCTCCCCTCCCCCGGTATTCCCTCTTGTGCATGCTCTGTGGTTGACAAGGGAATGAAATTCCTAAAACAAAAATTTCAAAGTATCTTTTCCTTGTTTGTAAACCTATGCTGGCTCTCTGATACTTTCCACGTAAAGGTTTGAATTCCTTTCTTTTATTTGGTTTCTTATGACAATCCCTGTCTGACTCTTCATATCAGTCACACTGAGATAACTCCTTGTTCTTTGAAAGAAACAATCTCTTGAGCTTCTGCACATTTTGATTCTTTGCCTGGAATATTATTTTCCCCTGCTCTCCTTACCCAGAAGCTTCACTTGGCTCCATTTTTTTCTTCAAAAGATGGCTCAAAAGTCCAGAAAGTGTCTCCTGCCCCATATCCTCCTATAGCCCTTTATCACACTTCTATACACTTACAACTTTTCTACTGTACAGAAAAAAATTTAAGGGCAGCATTGGTATCTTGTTCCTATTTGCATGTTCAGTGCCTGACACTTAATAGATGCTACTAGGCGTCTCAGTTAAACCAATGAAAAATTCAAATTCAGGTGTGGCAATCAGCCTCCAAAATGGCCTGCAAAGGATCCCCACCTCCTGGTATTTATGCCCTCAGGTGGTATCCTCCCATGTTGCACCATGGGTGGTGGGTGGCTGTACATGGTGCCATGTTGTGATTAGATCTACAGAGATGTCTAATGTGACAAGTGCCTTCAGGAAGCCCAGAGCCAATGGCCAGTAAAGCCCTGAGACTATCTAAGAGAGCTTGGGAATAGAATTTCCAGTTTCAGCTAAGTCTTCAAGGGCTGTAGCCCTGGCCAACAGCTTGAATGCATGTGTGTTAAGCTGTGAAGAATCTGGAGCCACAACAACCCCAGCTTAGCTGCTTCCAGGTTTCTGATGCTTAGAAACTGTGTGAGATTATAAGCATGTGTTATTTTAAGTTGCTATAGCTATATTTTGAGGCAATTTGTTACACAGCACTAGATAACTAATACACCTGGCAACATGATGTACGTGCTTTACCATTTCCAGGGCACCTCGGATAACCCCACAGAGTAAATTGCAGTAGCACAAAGAAGATCGCCCAGCAGGGAGCTCTTCCACAAACTCCACCAGAGGATTCTTGTCTAGAATCAGGGAAAACTCATTTCTGCTTGCATTGTTACAGGTGACACTTGGCGTAATTCCCAAGTACATCTTGAAAGCGACCTAATAAAGAGAAAAATAAATTATTGCCACTTGGTCTAGAACAGATATGTATTAGGACAACCAAATACCTGATTATAAGTGTTATAGCACAAGGGTTAAGCATAGGACATTTGGGTTCAACTTAGTTTTGCAATTTTTTGACTCTATGTCATGTGAAAATGTAAAATCCTTTTGTTTTATGGAACATCCTAAGGGACAAGTTTCCGTGAAAATAATATAGCTTTATTTTCAATAATGTTTTTTTAAATATGTATATCCTCTAGGAGGGTAAGAAACTAAAATATTATTCATTGTAAACATATTTATATGGTATTTGGCACACTGATCATGAAAATGATAGGATCCTAAATTAGAAGGTATCTAGGACATATCTGCCACAATAGGAAGGTCATGGTCAGAGCAACAGTTGCCGAGGGCAGATTAAAGCCAAGAGTGTATTTGGGGATGGAGAGGAAATTATATTACTGTAAATAACAAGTCTCTGAGAAGGAGAAAGGGATAGTGGTGGGATGAGAAAAACATAAATGAGTGACAAAGTTATTCTCAAAAGTTGTTTATACGTTACTGTATAACCAATGTGATTCTGCAACCTGTACATCCAGAAATATGAGAAATCATACCCCATTTGATTCAAATATATGATATGTCAAGATCATTGTACTGTCATGTATAACTAATAAAAATAAATAAGTAAATAAAACTGTTTCCTAGCACATGAAGAATTTTATAATATAAAAATGGAAGAAATTTTAGAGACTATTTCTTTTAAACCCCTAGTTTCACAAATGAATATACTGGAGAGAAGTAAAACGACACACTAAGACCTCAGTATAACTTAATTGTTTGATTCCTAGTCCAAGGCAATTTCTTTTCACAAAACACATAGGCCTTGGTTCTAAAGTTTATTAATGGAAATTTATTAGTTTGATGTGTTGTCATTTTTCAAATGACTTGATTAATTTAAATATTAAATATATAAGCTAAATTTTCCAAATCACTTAATTTGATTTTTAAATCTAGAGCAGTGTAGAGAATGGAAATAGAAATTATTTTATTAAATTATTTCTAATTTGAAGTACTAAGAAGTTTATTCATTCATTCAATAGGTACTTATTGAGCACAGCCAGACTAGCACAGTGCCTGGCACACAGTGGGAGTTCAATAGCCATTTTCAAAATAAATTATTGGATGAGCATCTGATCTAAGTTTGACACCATATTTAGAACTGGAATATAGGAGTATAAGTGAGTTTTTGTCAGGCAAAAAAAAAAAAAAAACAAAAAACAGGTGGGGTGGGGACAGGGGCCACTCTATTATACTCTGGGTAGTAGGAACATGTCCTGGCATGAGGTATCATGATGAGGTTCAAGGGAGGTCTGTATCTCTCAATCTGTGGGCAGTGGGATCCCTAAAGATGTCAAAAGGCTATGCAGCATTGGATTTCTATTTTAGAGGGATCTCCTTCACGTCAGTATGTGGGATGGATTTAGGGTTATGGTTGGGATGGGCATAAAGTCAAAAGGAGAGATACTAATCTAGAGGTTACCATGATGACTTAGGAAAGAAGTGATGATCAGCTGGGTTCAATGGCACATGCCTGTAATCCTAGCAGCTCAGGAGGCTGAGGCAGGAGGATTGAAGTTCAAAGAGAGCCTCAGCAAAAACAAGGCACCAAGCAACTCAATGAGACCCTGTCTCCAAATAAAATATAAAATAGGACTGGGGATGTGGCTCAGTGGTTGAGTGCCCCTGACTTCGATAACAAATACCCCTCCCCCAAAAAGAAGTAATGATGAAGACCCTTCTTGTTTTGTTTTTTTTTCTTTAAAACTCAAACTCTCCCTAAGCTTTTCCATATAGGTTAAATATTCCAAATCCTAAGATATGGCTCAAGTCTCTAAACTGTGCAGTTTTAAGAAGACATAAAATGAATTCCTGTCTTCCAAATCTTAAGCCATATAGTAAGAGGAAAAAAAGAAAAAGAAGGAAGAAAGAAAGAGAGAGACAGACAGACAGACCATGGTGAAATTCTGTGTTTGGACATTGGATTTGGCTCCCCATCAAGTGGCAGAAACCCATTTCTGCTAGTGTTGACTCATCCTGCTGGAAAGTTTCTAGACTATTGTACATCTTAGCCAGAACTTCCTTCTGATTTTCAATCTAAGCCACATGGAAATAATATTAAAAGGAAGCTTGTGCATTTTGAATTATATTCTAAATCCCTCTGTTTAGGCTGCCCTTCCATGGCCCCATATCCACCAGTAGGAGGCATTATCTGAACACTGTTGGGAAATATGCATTCCTAGGGAATGACATTGTTTCCTTATCTGGCTGAATTCAGCCTGAGAAGGAGGACTGTTGTTTCTAATGAAGAAAGAGCTCCACCCTCGGCCACTGCCACAGCTGCGGAGTCAATAGCAAGGGCAAAGCATTTTCCCTCTTTGTGTATCTCCAACATGGATGCTTTTCAGAGCATGTTAAAATTCTTTCTTAACCAGAAAACTGCTATTGGCTACAGCTTCATGGCTTTACTGACCTTGGGAGGTGAGCGTCTCTTTTCACTTGTGGCTTTTAAGTGCCCCTGCAGCTCTGAGAATACGGTCTATGGGTTGGTTTTCCTTTTTGCTCCTGCCTGGGTGTTACTGATCCTAGGATTCTTTGTGAACAACAAAGCATGGAAACTCTTCACAGGTTGCTGTGTGAACCCCAGGAAAATCTTCCCTAGGGGTCACAGCTACCGCTTCTTCTATGTCCTGGGCCAGATCACTCTGAGTTCATTGGTGGCTCCAGTGATGTGGCTCTCTGTGGCTTTGCTTAATGGAACTTTTTATGAATGTGCCATGAGTGGGACAAAAAGTTCAAGACTCCTGGGACTGATTTGCCAGGGCAAGCCCAAGGAGTGCTGGGAAGAACTTTACAAAGTGTCTTGTGACAAAACTAGCATGCTACCCATGGAGAATGAAGAAGTGAAACTGTCCCTTCAAGCCCAGTCTCAGGTAAGAACAAACTCGCCTGTTTCTCACCGCATGAGCTTGAAGTATTCTCTGTCCTCCTTTCAGCCAGGGTGGAGTCTGAGTTCTGCCAGAATATTTTGAAACTAAATGGAAATTGGAACATGATGCAGCAGTAAGACAATCTCAGGAAAAGCTTTTTAGAAGTTGGATGGCTCAGTAAAATTGCTGATTGGATTATATCTTTTCCATTTCCGAAAAGAAAATATCCTCTGGGTTATGTATATGTAAATGCTTAAGTACTTTAAAGCAATCTCTCTGGGATGACTTTGTAAATAATGCATAACACCAAATCACAAACTGAGTGTTAATGGCTGAATGGTAATTAAACATTACTATCTCCTATCAAATATTCATTCTCTAACTGCTTTCTTGAAACATAAGCACAGCTTATCCATCTATTAAAATACAGCTGAATGAGCTACTACTTTTTAAAGTTGTATGCAATATAATTAGTGTAGGGATTCACTTGAGTGGTTCTGGTGATTGCTATTTCCATGTAAAGATATTGTCGAGATTGAGAAGAATTTTCTATACAATGTAGGACTCTGAAGTCTTAAATAGTGAAAACTGACCATATTCTCAAAGGGAGATTATGTCTTTTACTCTTTTTGTCATACAGCTAAGAAAGTTCTTGCATTTCTTTAGAAGCTTCAGATATGGAATTTTGTTTTATTTAGTGGAAGAAAATTGTAGCTTCACCTAATTGATGCAGGGAAGTAGCTACCATCTGTCCAGGTATATGAACATAAATCCAGATGTACAGCCCTTCCCTGGCTTTAGGAAAAGAATGTGAGTAATAGGAAATGCATTCCCCAAACCAAAATAAGCAGTAGACAAAAAGATTTGTCTACTGTCTACAATTTGGCAGGAATACTGTTTGTTTCAGAATAAATGTACTGCAAAGACTATGATTTTGCTTTTTTGACAAAGATTTGCCTTTACAACACAAACAGCAAACTCTGTTCTTAAAATCATATTTTCCAAAGCTGGTTGGCAGTAAAGTTATACTTTCTTTATAAACTGATAAGCCAAAAAAAATACCTCAAACAAAATCTTTTGTTTAGTACATAAAGTACATCTTAGATAAAACATGTCAGGCTCCCAAATGTCTTCCATCTTTTGTTGAAGGAAGGTATTAATTACGAATGTTATGGCAGAATGAATGATTTATGGTTTATGTCCTCAGGCACCAGGCTCCGTTCAGTCAGTGCCAGGTCCAAACACTTATCACTGTGTAAGCTTTTCTTCTCTAAACATAGGCACAAGGAAATCATGCACATCCTGTCATAGCTGAGACTGGGCACAATGACATGTTGACTTTTCAGCAGAATGAGAAAGACCTGGGGCTGATTCCTATGGGAAGATGCCCCAGAGATGTGGACACAGGGAGTTGTGGCAATAGCAGGTGCTGACCATGAGGTTCAGATAGGCAAAAGGCAACATACAGTTCAGACCAATAATTGGGCATGTGGGTGGGAGTGGGAAAAGTACATTCATCCCTGGGTGGGGCAGAGCAATAAGAAATCCAGCTGGATGACTCTATTATTAAGGACAGTCAACTGGAGTAGTGGAATGGATCAAGACTTGGAGTTACCTGGCTTTGGGTTTGAATCCTGATGCTCCCACTCATGAGCTATGTGACATAGAACTTGTGTTTCAACTTCTCTGAGCACCAGTTTTCTCATAATGGGGGATAATAACACCTACATTGGACAGTAGTTGGAAGGTCTAGCACAAAGCCTCTAGAACACATAGGTTCCCAAGTTCTTGAGAAAACTGTTTGGGGAAGGAGATTTATGCAACACAGGACACTAATAAGGGCTGGGGTGGAAGCAACCACCACACTGTAGTTGGAAATGTGGATACTGTGAATTGAGGAGAAGGACAAAAATATTCAGTGTTCAGCACTCAGGTGAGAGCAGGTCAATGCTAAGGTCAAGCCTAAGAAAGATGAGGATCTGAAGCTGATCATACAGTTTCTGAGCTAGAATTAGCTCAGAAGCCTAAGTTGTAAGGAAAGAGGAAGTTAGAGGAAAGAAGTAGGAAGCCACAAGTCCACAAATGACTGAAGTAAATTTGAGGACTTTCACATGATGGTTGTTTTACCTCATTAATCATAAGTATAGAAAGATATTATCAGTTCAGTAACGCTTTTCTATAAATGTATATACATTTGAAAAATAGCATGTGATAATACCTAATGCACTTGTGTGTCCAACATCTTTTCACTGAATCCCCCCAAATACCCTCTGAGATGGGTAACCCCCATTTTACAATTGAGGAAACCAAGGCACAGGGAACATCCATAGCAAGGGGAATGCTAGGGTTTAAACCCGAATAAGCCAATGCAGAGATGGAGTTCATGCAGAGGCTGAGACCCTTTACAGTAATCCCTCATCTGAGAGTGAGAGGTTGGGAACCACTGATATGGAATTTATTGTGGTTCTGTTTTTCTCTAAATGGGTTCATTTGCAGATTTTTATTCTATTTTCAAATGAGCCCATCTGTTGAGGGATACTAAGGGTCATTTGAATTAAATGTTGAGACGATTTCAAAGAGATCTATTAGTTGTTAATTAAATATAAAATTAATTTCAATTGTGGAAAACAACTTGAACAACAAAAATATTTAGGCTTTACTTTGAGATATGTAGACTTGCTTTAAAAACTAGAAACATAGTGGGACCCTTCTTATCAGAGAGGATATAAATTTTGTTTTTTCTAATTACCAAAATTCAGACAAATAATCCTCAAAATTTGGAATGACCCCAATTTTTTTTTTTTTTCTTGGCACTTAGAGAGGCTTGAAAGTGTCCTTCTATGTCTGTTTTCCATTTACCACAGGCAGTAAGTAATGACTTTTCTTCCAGAGTGTCTGCTGCTCTTTGTAAACAATGTCACATGGTAAAATTGGCCTCTAGCCATGTATACAATACACATTTATCAATGCTTAAGACACCTGACTAATGAACTGGTCAGTGTTCAAATGATCACAATTWCTGATGCACAGAATTTTTCCTTCTAATAGCTAATATTTTGGGGGCACTTGATTTATCCAATTCTGGGATAAACCATACTTTTTATCCTTTTCCATTTGCTGACCTTTTGGTTATTTCTTTGCATGGCAACGATGTTGGGTAGGAGAACAGATATTAGGTAAACTCTAACTTCATGTTGACTGTTTAAAAAAGTGTTTAAAATTAAGATGAATGATTTGAAATGAGGTATGGTAATGACTTATCAACTTAGCTATATGCTCCCCCTGGTTAATTTTACACCACCCCAGCTCCCTGAGAATGGATTTTACTTTTACATATCCTCCATATTTTTTTCTTCCTAAGATTCTAGGATGGTGCCTGATTTGTTCAGCATCTTTCTTCTCTCTGCTCACCACTTGTTATGCACGCTGCCGATCTCAAGTTAGCTATCTGCAGCTGAATTTTTGGAAGACGTATACGGAAAAGGAGAAGGAGCAGTTGGAAAATACATTTGTGGACTATGCCACCAAACTGAGTGAGAGGAACCTGAAATGCTTTTTTGAAAACAAGAGGCCGGGTGTCTTTCCCTTGCCCACCTTTGCTGCCTGGGAAGCTGCTTCAGAGCTGCATTCTTTCCACCAAAACCAGCAACATTACAGCACTCTCCACAAGGTGGTGGATGATGGTCTGGAACCCTGCCCCCAGGACGATGAGACCACAATGGTCCTCGTGGGTACCGCATGAACTCTGTAGCTCATCCACCATCACTGGCTCCAAATGCCTAGCGGTACATTCATTCAGAAAGCTTCCTGCTATATACACAATCATCTTGTGTCTCTGCATTTTTTTCACAGCTACCTTCTTTACAAGACAATGACACAAAGAGAAACTGCTTTGAAACTCAGATGAAGACAGTGTCAGGATGTGCTCAAATTGGGGCTAAGTGGTGACACACACTTTTGCATTGGTGGAGGGCTGGGCTTATTAGGACCAAACATTGTTCTAAGATTTTATGACTTAGTAGACAGATTAATGCAAGAGGATCTGCCACTCTTTGTAAATATTGGTCATGGTATCTGGGACTGAATTGGTGGCTTGTGCCAAAGCAAAGTACTCTTCAGTATAGACTGCTTTACACAGTGGGATCTGTGGTGTGGTCAGCAGTAGCCCCTGTTCCGTAAATCCATCCCACTGCTGTTCAAGATGTATGAAATTCTACCATTAGAAATTCTTTACCTCAGAATTTAAAGACTTCAGTTCTCAAAAATGATTAAGCGAAAGAATGTGATATTGAAAATTCAGAGTTTTCCGCAAGTTTTTACTGTATACTGAAAGTACGCTCTTGGAGCAGGGGCCCTAAGTACTCTCTGCCTTTACAGACCAATTTCTATACTCAAAAATATTAATATTATGTATTAGAACACTTTGCTCAACCTAAAAGTTGTTTTATTTCTTTCTGATTTTAAAATTAAAAACACTTTCATGTTGGGCATGGTGGTGCATGCCTATAATCCCAGTGGTTTGGGAGACTGAGACAGGAGGATCACGAGTTCAAAGCCAGCCTCACCAAAAGTGAGGCACTAGGCAACTCAATGAGACCCTGTCTCTAAACAAAATACAAAATAGCATTGGATATGTGGCTCAGTGGTCGAGAGCCCCTGAGTTCAATCCCTGGTACCCCCCAAAAGAAAATTTAAAAAAACAATTTCATGTACTTCTACAAGTATTGTGGGGCCCTGGGCATGGTGTCTACTATTCTGTGAGTATGTCTTAGTTGATTTGAAATAGTGTAATAAAACGCCATAGACTGGGTGGCTTTTAGAAAAATGGAAACTTATTTCTTTCAGTTCTAGAGGCTGGGATTTCTGAAACTAGAGTGCCAGGATCATGGTCAGGTTCTGGTGAGGGCCCTGTTCCAGGCTGCAGACTGCTGACTTCTCACTGTGCCCTCACAAGTGGAAAGGGCAAATGTGCTCCCTCCAGCAGCTTTTATAAGGGCACAAATCTCATGGCTGAAGACTCTGCCCTCATGATCTAGTTACCTACCAAAGGCCCCACTTCCTAATGCCATCACCATGTGGATTAGGATTTTGACATATGAATTTTGGAGTGATACAAGAATTCAGACCATAGCAGGACAAATTGGCCCTGACTAGAGGTCTGGGGCCACTGTCCAAAGTAGTACTGGTATAAAATTGTTTTGCACTTTTACATTCATTAGAAACAATTCAAATTTAGCCAGTTATGGTGGCGCACACCTGTAATCCCAAGAGCTAGGGAGGCTAAGGAAGAAAGATCACAAGTTCAAAGTCAACCTTAGCAAGTTAGAGAGGCCTTAAGCAATTTATTGAAACCTTATCTCAAAATTTAAAAAATAAAAAAAAAAATTTAAAAGGGCTGGGGATATGCCTCAGTGGTAAAGCACCTCTGGGTTCAATTCCTGGTATCAGAAAAAAAATTCAAATGTGCATTTTACTATATAATATATATAGTTAGTGTGTGCATGTGTATGTGTATGTGTGTGTATGTAAATTCTCTGAGTGGAATTAAGCTTAAGGAAGAGGAACCATATTTTGCACTGTGACTCATCCCTTGTGTCACTGGCTATCTACATCACTGAGTTTGAGAAGGCTAGATATTAGCTCCTTATTACCATGAAACATCCTGACTAACTGAGGGGAGAACCCTGCAAATGGAAGACCCAGAACATGTCTATGATATTGTGATTTATGATAAGAAATGTGCATTTTTGTCTTCAGGCCCGTTTTTGGCACAGAGTTTCCAAAACCCTTATGCTCTCCACGATATGTTTTTTTGTATAGTAATGAGATGACTCTTGGCTCCTGGAGGACCTCATGCTGAAGTGCAGAGTAGAGGGTGGATACTGGCAGAAGAACCAACCATTATTAGTGGGTTGAAACTACCCTTACACCTCTAGGAAGTAAAGAGGGACTGAAAGGATGAATTTATTACCAACAGTCACTAATTTAATCAATCATGCTTACATAATGAAGCCTTCATAAATCACCCCTAAAGGACAAAGCTTCTGGGTTGGCTGGCAGACTAGAGGAGGCGTGCCCAGAGCGATGGAAGCTCCTTACCCCTCCCACCCACACCTTGCTCTGTGCATCACTTTTATCTGGCTGTTCCTGAGTTGTATCCTTTTTTGTAAAAATAGTTACTCTAGCAAGCCAATGACTAGCAAGCAAATGAACCTGAGAAAGGGATTTGTAGCCATGTCAGACCAAAGCTGTGGGTGGATTGGGAGCCTACTGCTTGTGATTGGCATCTAGAGTTGGGGAGAGTTACTGTGGGAATGAGCCCTTAACCTCTTGGGGAGTCTGAACTTAACTCCGGTTAGTGTCAGAAATGAACTGAATTATAGACAAGCAGTTGGTGTTTGGAAATTGGTCAGTGTGGGAGAAAAAAATTATTTTTTAGTTGTTGATGAATTTTTATTTTTTATTTATTTATATGTAGTGCTGAGGATCGAATCCAGTGCCTCACACATGCTAGGCAAGTGATCTACCACTGAGCCACAACCCCAGCCCCAAAACCCACACTCTTGATGGTCAGAATGGAGAAGGAAAAATAAGTTTTTTTTTTTTCTGTATGCAATATGCTTTGGATTTTGGAGGTGCAGTAGCAATTTGTGTGTGTGTGTGTGTGTGTGTGTGAGAGAGAGAGAGAGAGAGAGAGAGAGAGAGAGAGAGAGAGAGAGGACAGAGATTAGGGATGAAAGATGGCAGAGGTTTTGGAATGAAGAGAGATAAAACTCAGCAAATACAAATGTTCCTCCATATCCCTTCTTGATTTGGACTTGTCTGCCCTTAATTGTCTGCTGATCTGGGAGAAGGCAGGTGGAACTAGTCGATGTCTCTTGTGGAAGCAACAGTTGTACAGAAGTAGCTTACTTATAGGACATTAAAGATTGAGGAGTCAACTTGGAACATATTTCTGTCATCCTCAACCCAGAGGCTTTCTGAGGTCAGAAAGCTCCTGTTCATGACAATGGTTGCCCTGTTCAAGAATAGCCAAACTGACTAGTAACAAGCCAGCAGCCTGGGGTACTCTTAGCGGCAGCTTAGTAAGTAGCAGAGGAGCTCATCCTCCTCCTGTGGAACAAGTCACCCCACGATGAGTCAGGTTCTCATCTTGATTCCCGGTCCTAATTCCTTTAGAACAGTAATTTGCTCAGGGGGGAAATAAGTCCAAGGAAACTTATCTGTCCTATGAACAGCCTTGAAGGGAATGGGTGGAGACGGAGAGAGCAAATTGTTATCTGTTCTTGGGTGTTCAGAAGGAACCAGTATCCACAGATGGGGAGATAAACTGGTTTTGGTAGGGGAGACTTTTTAGAAGTGTAGACAGTTTGTTGTCTTAAGTTGGGTTCTTTAGAAGCAGTGCCTATCAGAAGAAGCCATGTGTAAGTGATTTATTAAATCACCTATTAGCAGGAGAGACACAAGAAAGAAGGAGGTTTCAAGTGAAGCCTCGTGCCAAATAATCCCATAGGGAATTCTGGGCCACCAGCCTTGGCTTGACCTCAAAATGGGCTCAGGATTTTCAGCTGTGGCTAAGCATTGTTCCAGGGCAGGCGGTAGCATTCCCCAGACAATTCTAGGCAAAGAGCCACCAGTGGCCCAGGGGTGACCCTCCAGAAAGGGGTTCACTTCAGTGACTGAGGGATAAGCACCATGCTATTAAATACATGGAGAGTGTACCAGAAGGTTCCCACTGATGTGTGCTATGACAGTCTCCTTCAGGCCTAGAACTGAAGCATATGAAAGACATCCTGGACAAGAGCCCTCAAGCTGAGGCTGACTCCATTGTAAAACTTCTAATTTCTCTTGAAGCCAAAGAGCAACAAATGTGGGTGCCTTGTACTCTCTTACTATTATTGTTCTATTACATAAAAGAAAAGAATTAGAGAGTACTCTGAAAGGAATATGTCTAAGAAAGAAATCATTGATATATAACACCTACTTTTCCTAATTTATTCCATGAATAAGTTGTGTACAGGTATATATGATTCCTTTTTTTTTCCTGTGAAGTTCCTATTTTATTCAGACTTTACTAATAAACTTAGTAATTTTAGATACTATTATCATAAACATATCCAATGGCAAATGGGAAAAAAGGCATTTAGTAAAGATTTTTTAAAAAATAAGGCTTGACAGACAAATCATTACATAATTCTATATAATGTACTTATACCTTTAAGTAACACATTGCAAAATACATATGTGTCATATATATATATATATATATATATGTGTGTGTGTGTGTGTGTGTGTGTGTGTGTGTGTGTGTTTAAAATGAAAATATACATATGGTTTTCTACTCAGGACCTTTGAAGTGTTATACATTTAACATATATACCACTGAAATGTATATATTTAACATGAAAATTTTAAATACAGTATCATATTTCAAGGACTGGTGATCCACTGATTTCCTATAAGAACTGGTTAAGACTCCAGAAGTCACTAGGTAGCATAGAATTTCTACCTGTTTTCACATGGCATATTTCAGGGATTTCAACTACTAATTTGTGTTATTAGTAGTTGAAATTAGTAGATAGGAAATAGTAGTTTCTATTGTTATAACACATACCTGAGATAAATCAATGTATAAAAGGATAAAATTTATTTTGGCTTATAGTTTTAGAAGTTCCTATCCATGAATTGTGCTTTGGGCCTGTGGCAAGGCAGCACAACATGGGCAAATATATGGCAGAGCAAAATCACTTACCTCATGAGCAGGAAACAAAAGAGAGGAATAAGAAGGGATGGGGTCCCACCACCCCCTTCCAGGTCATGCCTCCAATAACTTAAAGACCTCACACTATGCCCTACCTCTTCCAACCACCACCTCACCCTAAGTTTCTAGATATTTGGAATAGCTAAGCTCAATCTATGCTTCTACCATATAAGTGAGGTCAACTTTCCATTTATTTATTTTTATTTCCTTAGATAAAAATTATAATTGATAAAGAAGTAATTTTGAGTAATGGAAAGTTCACAAAAAATTTAGAATACTATTATGGTAGTAGTAAAGATGGGTTGGTAAGAAGTGTTAAAGCTTATTTCTTGGTCTCTTTCAGTGCTCAATAATCTGGTAAACTCCAGCCACTAGGAAAGAGTCCAATTACCTGGAGACCATGTCAAAGTGAAGATGCCTAAGCTAGTCACASGGAAAAAGAGAGAAAGAGAGACAGAAAGAGATAAAGAGATCTTAACAGCCCCCATTGTTCCAGTCATTCTAGCCTAGGTGTCAGGCATACAAATGAAGAGACCATAGTGGAAATTCTAACCCCAGTATAAATGACATGGAGAAGAAGCAGGGAGTCTAACCAACAGCTGGAACAAAAGGCTCCAGATCTAAGGCCCTAGTCAAACCATTCCAGCATTCCCCAGACATTTAAGCTATCACAACTGAAGCTGCAAGTTTTGTAGAGCAGTCTCCACTATGTTCTCTACAAACCTCTGACCCAGAAAATCATGCACTT